AAAAAAAAAAAAAAAAAAAAATCCAAAAAACAAAAAAAAAAACCCCAAAAGCAAACAAAAAACCCACCAATGCCTATGTCGAACTGCTGTTAAGGGCTCTGAGGAAAGTGCTAAGATTTGTTTGCTCCTTTTTATGGAAGCTCTATTGCTCTATATCACTACGTGTGGATCCTAAACCTTCTCTCAGCTCAGCCCCTTGCAGGAAGACGCAGAGTCCCCGTGTGGATGCTGCCTGTGCCTTGGTGCTTTGATCAGCCAGACAGGACAAGGCTGGAGTTTCCTCTGCTCATGGTTTGTACTCACTGTGGGGTCTGGAGGAGGAATGAGGGATGAGTACGGGGAGTGAGAAGTGCTACGTCACATACAAATGTCATAAGCCGTTGTCATAATTTTCCTATTTTTGTAATTGTCCAGCTAAGTTATTGTATTATTTTATTTACTTTTTGTATGCAGGGAAGGGTCTACGGGGTGTTCAGGGTGTCAATATTAGATTGGACTCATAGTGATCCGCCTGTTTACAGCCTCCCAAGAGCTGGGATTACAGGCGTGCCCCACCACGTCCAGTCTCAGTTGCCCTCTCAGTGTTTCCCAGGGGCAGTGCAGACCCAGTAGGCCCAGGGATCGAATCCTCGGCCGCCGCGCCTGCTTGCAGGTGATTTAATATGCTGAGGCATTTGGCTGGCCCTATATTATTTTGATATACACTGGAGAAATTCCAATTTTGTGATGCCTTCCAAAAGTATAAAAGCCAAGCAACGCTGATCCGAAAGATGGACAGATACTGGTTATATCCTGCAGTGAGCCCTGCAGGATGCTTGGGTTCATGGTGATCCACAGGGCTGCACGAAGCCTGACCTGGGAGCCCAGGAGAGATCTCTTCAGCCCCTTTGAGATGGCGCAGTGCTCCAGAAATGTCAGAGAGACTGAGAACACAGTGCATGGTCACAGTGTACTCACTGGGTCGGGATATGGTAGGAGACAAAGCGCAATGAATATATCTGTTACACGCCACTTCGGCTTTACTAGGCATTTTACAATAAATTCATTGTCGTCTGCTTCGTTTGGTTTCATTCATTTTCATAAATGGAGAGTATTTTCAAGGCCAAGGAGTATTTGCAAGCTCCGTCCCCGTCTCCTGGTGCCAGTGATTTCAGCACAGTGCAGGGCTTGCTGCTCTGCAGTCTTCCTCACTCTCTGCCTGGGCAGCACGAGCCCAGCTGCAAGGTGTTGCTCTGAGTCCCCAGCCTCTGCCCTCACACAGAGCGGTCTGCACTGTGCTGCTCCCCAGAGAGCTGGGCAGGCGCACAGCTGGGCTTCCGGGCAGGAGGTTTGTGTTCAGGGCTGTAGCACTGTGGGTGGATCATGAGTATTTTGCCAACAGTAATACACTCCAGCGTCCTCAGCCTCCACCCTGCTGATAGTGAGTGTGAAATCTGTCCCTGACCCACTGCCACTGATCCTGTCTGAGATGCCAGGATTCTGGTTAGATACCAGGTAGATCAGGCCCCGTGGAGCCTGGCCTGGCTTGTGGACCATCCAATGCAAATAGGTGTTTCCATCACTATACAGGAGGCTCTGACTGGACCTGCAGGAGAAGGACGCCGTCCCTCCCAGGCTGACGGACAGAACCTGTGGGGTCTGGGTCAGCACCACGTCTCCCCTGGATCCTAAAATGAGGAATGACAAATGGAAGGTCATGGACAGACAGCAAGACATTTTCATAGCTCTCTCGTTTTGTTATCAAGAAAGTTATTAAAGTATTCTGATATATTGAGCAAATATTTTGCTTTGAGTTGGCTCCCAAGACGCTAATCACAAGGAACCCTCGAGAATTCCTGCCAACCTCCCTGTGTCTCTTTGTAGCACTTTTCATGAGAGGCCAGGTCCTGAGTCTTTTAGGAATTCTCTTCATTCACTGGTCTAACCTCACACACCCAGGCTGCAAGAGAGGGCTGCACATCTCTCCTAGGTGCAGAGCTCACGTGGGCGGCAGGGGGATCCCCAAGGACACAGTGTCCTCCTTGCCCCTGCTCATCTCCCCCGTCCTCACCAGGGATCCAGAGCAGCAGCAGCCCCAGGAGCTGAAGAGGGAGCCTCATGGTGAGATTTGAGCTGCAGAGTCCTGCTCAGGGAAGGCACAGTTAGAGCCAGCCTTTATGTCCCAGGTGCAGGGGGAGGTCCTCCCTTGGGACAGAATGCAAATGCCCTGGTGGAGGGAGCGGTGTGGACAGTGCAGAGCATGGGGGAGGCTGCTCCATGAGCCCAGGGGGATAAGATATGCTCTGTGTTTGTAGGAGACCCACAGGGTCAAATTGGTGCTGCCTGCCACAGTAGGCGTGGGGATTCCCTGGAACTCCTGCATCTGCAGCAGGATAGAGCGCTCAGGGCTCTTCGTGTCTAAGACGTGGCGCGTGTGTCCAGGTCAGTCTCTGCGAGGGGAAGTCTCCTGCTTGTAGGCTCCTTGGTGAGACTGAAGTGACTGTGGCTGCCTGATTGCTCACTCTCCGCGTTTCCTGCCCTCGCCAGCACGGAGCAGGCGTGTGGGGCCCTTCTGATGTGACCGGGAGAATTCTCATCATGTTAGAAACAAGATGAGAAATTCTTTTTCCTTGTCCTCAGAATTAAATGACCAAAGAGAACTAAAATCAAAAGAATATGATAAAGGAAAAAATTGTGTTCCAGATTACTGTTCCAGATTACCAGATTTTTGTAAGGTCCATAAATTTTTCCTGCACTGTTCTCCAAGATAGTGAAGGAGCA